ATTATAGATATTTTCTATACACAAAATGATATTAATGGAACACAAAATAAACTTTCTCTCTCTAAGAAATTTATGGCCGAAAACCACACCCCAATTTGATAATTTACACTCTCCCTTTATAATTGTCATGTTTTCAACAAATGATTTGTCAATTTTGTCATTAAGCTAAAAGATAAAGTAATGAACAATTAATCAAGGATTATGGACAAAGTGAGATCCCAATTAGCCGTATGTTTTGATTTGAGAAAGTGAGAAGGATTTTCAAAATTCTTCTCCACTTAAATGTTCAAAGTGTATTTTATTTGACACCAAAAAAAAAATAATATAAAATTAATTTTAAATCAAATAAAAATACCAATATCATTTTTAAACAACTATAAAATATACTTTAAATAGTTTATGTCAAAATAATTATTTTCATAATTAAAATGACAAACCAAAATAAAATATTCAATATATAATATATATATTAATCGGTTCAAATATATATAATATATATATAACCGAATATCACATATATAATATTATATTCCAAAATATTTTATTTTACTATTTTACAAATATACAAATTACTTATTATCACATTGTTTAATCCTACTCCTTAAATTGTTCAAAGTGTGTGACCCGTATAGGCACTTATAAAGCTGGCCACAGTATTGGCTCTGCACCAATACTATAAGCAATAAGCGGTATCTAGCAACACATTATTGCCCCCAGATTATAAGTTAAGACGTTTGCACCATCAAAACCTTTCCACGACTTACACCCGTGGTCGCGCTAAAGATGCTTAGAGCATGAACTAAAAGTTCAAGCAACATCTTTAGGATGGGTCAGTCCGGTATCCTATTATCTCCAGATAATATCTGACCATGTGCGGATGCAAACACACCGTCATTGACTATGAGACTAAGTCAAATATCCAACACACACTAGTCTCACATGCATTAACGATATCCCACTCTCGTTAATACTTGACTATGGACATTCAGATAAATATTTATTTCAAGATGTTAGTCTCATCAGCAGAATAACACTATCTGATAAACATCTTTAAATAGAAATATAGGAATATAATATTCATTTACATTAGCATGAGATGTGTAAACATATTATATCTGCCTACACATGATAGGATAACGATGAACAGTTGGCCATCAGGGCACAACTCTAACAGAGTGTTCACTGCCCGCACCAACACTCCTTTTACTTCGGAAGTGTTAGCAGAACTATACCTGGTGGGCTTCAAGATTCCCTTCATAAAAATGTACGAAAGAGAGTCTAACCCCCAGGAGCACGTACACAGTTACGAGCAGATCATGATAGTGGTAGGCGCGACAAATGTTTTAATGTGCCAATGTTTTCCAACAGACTATGGACAACAAGGTAGCAGACTGAGTCAACCATATTCCGGCTAGATGTTTTTAGAATTTGGATAAGCTTGAATTACGCTTCTTGGAAAACTTTGCAAGGAACTACTGACCCAAGAAACATTTCACCCACCTTGCATCTGTCCGGTAAAAAAGTGGGGAAACACTAAAGAATTTCCCGACTCGGTGGAGAAAAGACTCTCGGGAAGTAGAAGGTGCTGATGAAAAGTCTAGAATGGCCATGTTCACAACGACATTACATGAAGGACTCCTCCATACTGATCTCACTACCCATCCCTCGAATTCCTTTGGGGAAGCAATGGTTCGCGACGACAGATATGTGACCCTGGAAGAACGAAAGGAAGAGAAGAAGGAAAACACTCCCAAGGAGGGTGAAGATAGGCCCACAAGTAAGAAACCTTTCAAGGGAAAAAAGTAGGGCTTTCCAGAAGGACCAAAGGGACCTTCAGCCAAGCCTTATGGAGGATTGAAGCCACATAACCCGGTATTTACCATACTAGTGACAGAAGTAATTGTTGGAGTTGTGCCGTGATGGCCAACTGTTTATCATTATTCTATCATGTATAGGCAGATATAATATGTTTACACATCTCATGCTAATGTAAACAAATATTATATTCCTAGATTTATATTTAAAAGATGTTTATCAGATAGTGTTTTTTCTGCTGATGAGACTAAAATCTTGAAATAAATATTTATCTGAATGTCCATAGTCGAGTATTAACGAGAGTGGGATATCGTTAATGCATGTGAGACTAGTGTGTGTTGGATGTTTGACTTAGTCTCATAGTCAATGACGGTGTGTTCGCATCCGCACAGGGGCAGATATTATCTAGAGATAATAGGATGCCGGACTGACCCATCCTAAAGATGTTGCTTGAACTTTTAGTTCATCCTCTAAGCATCTTTAGTGCGACCACGGGTGTAACTATCCTTCGACTTGAAGTATTACGTTTTCTGCATATGTGAACCCGCATACTTTGATGCATCGTCCTAAGCCATATGAAATAAGGATGGTATACAGGCATTGTTTTGGGTATGCCGAAGTGCGTATTCAGAAACGTAGATTACGTACATAGGATTTTTCACTACTCTTTTTAAGAGATTAATGTCTTATGGGGCCCACTGATAAGTTATGACTGAGGAAATTGCATGGCCATGCTGAGATGTTTTTTTCTGACGTCTGTTCTTATTAGTCACACTTGATAAATCAGTGAATGACTTAATGGATACAAGTTGAATTTTATTAATCCCTTGCATTAAGTTTAAACATTGAGACAAAGGAATACAGTTACATGGAGTCTGAGTCGTGGAAATGTTTTGACGGTGCAAATGTCTTAACTTATAATCTGGGGGCAATAATGTGTTGCTAGATACCGCTTATTGCTTATAGTATTGGTGCAAAGCCAATCTGGGGGCAGTAATGTGTTGCATTACGTTTGCACTTTCAACGCTCTTCCTACGACCTCTTCGTTTTTACCGCTTACGGAGAAAGGTATAAATTTCTTACTACTATAAGTTTTAGTACGTGATTCTGGGCAAGATAATCATGTTAGGATGTTAAAATTTTTATATTCCGCTGCCTATCCTTGCATGGTTACCTGTCAGTAGTGGCCCATGCTGCCTAGTAGCAGCTGATGACGCATACTACCTATTCACAGAAGCTCTGCAATGTTGAAGACAAAAATAAATGGTGTGCATACAACAGAAAAAACGACCACAACACGGGATATTGTTACACATTGAAGAATGAAATGGACAGGCTCATCCGAAGGGACAGTTGAAGAAGTTTTTTCTAGACTCATCGTAATGAGGAAGCACCTGGGATTTCCTGGACTTAGAAAGGTAAAGAAGGGCATTTGGCGTAGGTGGAACTCTGAGGAAAGAGGCACATTGGCCTGGATAAGTCATGTGCAATCAAATCATATCAAACAACGGTTCTACCTGGGAACCCAAGGTCCTCTGGCCACCATCATGCACCAATGTAATATGACAAAATTATAATCGATTCGAATTACCTATCAAATGATCATAATATGAATTCAATACCGAGATATTACATCTGAGACCTGCTCCTCCCACTGGGACAACCCTACCCCCACTACCAAAGTGCCCAATCCGTTGTTGGGTAGCCTCATCCGCTACCAGAAAGCCTTATCTTCTGCCCAATTGCTACCCAGCCACCATTAGCCACTATTGGGTCTGCTGCATGACAGAGAATCTAACCCTGGTCCCCGACTAATTCACCCAATTTCACAATAATTAACATAAACAAAACCCCAATCAAGTCCTAAAGCATGCTCCTACCCGAATTCAACAATCAATTTACCAATTCAAAATCAATTGGTAGAAAATTCATGAATGAAGTTCTAATCTATGAATTAACCCTAATGATAGACATATGAACCACGACTCACCTTGATTGTTAAATGAATCAAACGAATCAACCAAATCAAATCAATGAAGAGGACCACAACGACGGGAAGCAACCACAACATTGAATTGACCCTTATATATATATATATATATATGGGAAATTATTATTAAAGATAAAAGGAAAGGGAAAAAGGGGTGGCCCATGCCCCAACAAAAGAGCCGAAGTACATGGAATTAAAACAAAGGGGAAAAGCACAAATAATCACCCCTACAAGCAAGAGTAAACAAAGAAAAGAGCTAAACACTAGACAACAAAAATCCTTTTTCCAAGAGGTGTCCTGTAGTCCAATCCTTTTGCCAACTAGGGTAGACAATATTGTTTTCCTGAGGATGGTCAAGAAAGTACTTCTAATAATAGCATCAACCTCCAGGAACTTGCTCATCGACATCAAACTTGGAAGGAATGCAACGAATCAACCTAAAGTTGCCTGACCAAGACCTTGAATAGAAAATGTAGACCAAAATTAATCTAATGAAATTAAAACTCAATAATCTTATTGCATTCACAAATTTGGAAACTTATATCGCTCTATTTCTTCTTCTTTTTGCCACTTGCAAGATGTTGGGTAATAATTCCTGGTTTGCAATTGTTGTTCTGCCCATTCTTTTGTTTACCTTTCTTGCTGCCCTTGCCATAATGGCCCATGAGTAAAGTTTCTTCAGCTTCAATAACCTGCAGATCAAAATTAGCATCCATATAATGCCCACATACTTCTTCAATCTCCTCCTCTACACATTGTTGGTCGTTACCGTATATTAATAGAGGCACATCAATGAGGAATTTTAGATTTCCATATATTAACAAATACTTTTCAAGAGCCTTTTCTATATTCAGAATCCAATCAAGGAATATTTTAACATATACTCTTCATATATTAGCCCCTCAACTTAGAGGAATTTTAGATTTCCATATAAAACTGCCTTCACATTTTAATTGTGAAATGCAAAAAGTGTATAAAACTGCCTTCACATTTTAATCCAAGTTTGTTTTGCACATCAAAGGTACCTTGTCAGAAGTCATAGAAACATTCGTTCCTTTGGGTGTCATATGTGTCTCACATTTGCTCAGTGCAATCTGTTGTCCATTTCACGTGATGTCAATCACCTATTTAGATTCTGTACTTTTCGTCTAATCGTCACACGCTACACTTGTCGGCACTGTACAGTTGTCATTCGTCATCGTCGAGCGATCAATGTCTTGTACATTCTTCCACGTCGTCCTTGTCAATTTCACGACATCTGATATCATCAGTATGTGGGTTTCGTCGAGTGCCAAAAGTTCGTCATGTTCGTGGAGTGTGTCGTACACCCTCCCTAGCTTGAGTATTTCGCGTGGTATTAATCACAAGATTCTTTTTACCAATTCTTCGTGTTCACGTCTATGTCGCGACACGAGTTTAGTCCTTCGAATATAGTGTCTACGTGAGGTTGTGTCATGCACATCCCTCGTGTTTGTGTTTGCTTCAGCTTCGTACCCTCGATGGGTCCTTCTTGGTTGGCATACCTAATGCACTTCGGTATTTAAGATTATTGCTATTACCCCTTTTTGGGTGATTCACAGCTACATCATGGTTCTACGTTATTGGAGAATACTCAGAGGTTTTTCCTCTAGTTTCAGGTGACATTCAACTTTGTGACACGAAATTAATAGTAATGTATTAAAAATTAAGTGCATTCATTGATCTTGAAGTTAGTTCACCCTTCGCGAGTCGTAACCTAAAATCTTCAATGGCATAGTCGAGATTAAGCGGTTTCATTCTTGGTTCATTAAAGTTATCTCTCAAACAATTCTTTGAATCATACTAACGAGAGTAAGTGGGGCGTTCTACAAAGGTCACCAGTATCGTTATCGGCGTCACTAATGCCTACTACGTAGACTTTGTAACGGGTCGGAAGCCCTTCAACACTGAGTTCTTGGTGACAACCACATATCCACATGTCAATGTCATAACTCCTTTTGAGCCTGCTTCATTTGGTTCATCTTGTTATCAAGGTACGTTGACACGTAACATATTTCTAGATAGATCATTCTGTTGGAGTTGTGCCCTGATGGCCAACTGTTCATCGTTATTCTATCATGTATAGGCAGATATAATATGTTTACACATCTCATGCTAATGTAAACAAATATTATATTCCTAGATTTCTATTTAAAGATGTTTATTAGATAGTGTTATTCTGCTGATGAGACTAACATCTTGAAATAAATATTTATCTGAATGTCCATAGTCGAGTATTAACGAGAGTGGGATATCGTTAATGCATGTGAGACTAGTGTGTGTTGGATGTTTGACTTAGTCTCATAGTCAATGACGGTGTGTTTGCATCCGCACATGGTCAGATATTATCTGGAGATAATAGGATACCGGACTGACCCATCCTAAAGATGTTGCTTGAACTTTTAGTTCATGCTCTAAGCATCTTTAGCGCGACCACGGGTGTAACTATCCTTCGACTTGAAGTATTACTTTTTCGTCATATGTGAACCCGCATGCTTTGATGCATTGTCATAAGCCATATGAAATAAGGATGGTATACAGGCTTTGTTTTGGGTATGCCACAGCGTGTATTCAGAAACGTAGATTACGTACAAAGGATTTGTCACTACTCTTTTTAAAGAGATTAATGTCTTATGGAGCCCACTGATAAGCTATGACTGAGGATATTGCATGGCCATGCTGGGATGTTTTTATGATGTCTGTTCCTATCAGTCAGACTTGATAAATCAGTTAATTACTTAATGGATACAAGCTGGATTTTTTAATCCCTTGCATTAAGTTTAGACATTGAGACAAAGGGATATAGTTATATGGAGTCTGATTCGTTGAACGGTTTTGATGGTGCAAACGTCTTAACTTATAATCTGAGGGCAATAATGTGTTGCTAGATACCGCTTATTGCTTATAGTATTGGTGCAGAGCCAATACTGTGGCCAGCTTTATAAGTGTCTATGCGGGTCACACACTTTGGACAATTTAAGGAGTAGGATTAAACAATGGGAGAATAAGTAATTTGTATATTTGTAAAATAGTAAAATAAAATATTTTGGACTATAATATATATTATACATACAGTTTATATATATATTTAATATATATATATGATAACATCGAAATATATATATAAATATATTATATGTTGAATATTTTATTTTGGTTTATCATTTTAATTATGAAAATAATTATTTTGACATAAACTATTTAAAGTATATTTTTATACTTGTTTAAAAGTGATATTGGTATTTTTATTTGATTTAAAATTAATTTTATATTAATTTTTGGTGTCAAATAAAATACACTTTGAACATTTTAGTGGAGAATAATTTTGAAAATCCTTCTCACAATCACAAAGAAGTTTTCGGCCATCATAAGGATTTTAAGAATCAAACTTTCCTTGATTGATAATTAAGTGGCTAGTTAATTTTGTCATTTAGCTAATGACAAAATAGTTTGATTAATCACTTTGAATCTTTTGTTTTCTTTTTAAAAGGTTACACGGCACATTGAAATAAAAAGAGGGTGAGGATTATCATTTTGATAAGTTATATACACTTTCGGCCATAATATTTTCTAGTGTGAGAATATAATATTTTGGTTCCATTAATATCATTTTGTGTATATAAAATATCTATAATATTTTCTAAATATTATTAGAAATATTTTCTTTAGAAATATACAAGATTATTATTATCCCAATTTTAATCTTTATATTTTATACTACTATAATCTTTACTAGCATAAAGATTGTGGTAGACTGGCATTGTTTGTTTGTCAAAGTTGGAGACCGGACACTTGAACGGTTACGTTTGCACTTTGAACGCTCTTCCTACAACTTCTTCGTTTTTACCGCTTACGGAGAAATGTATAAATTTCTTATCACTATAAGTTTTAGTACGTGATTCTAGGCAAGATAATCATGTTAGGATGTTAAAATTTTTATATTCCGCTGCTTATCCATGCATGGTTACCTTTCACATTCATCACGTTCTTTTGGTTTGTATCCAACCACAACACTACATGTGATGTGTTGGGAGTAAGTACTACTTTCTTTAATAATCCAACAATTTTTTCTTTTCCTTTATATGGTCAATCCTGTTTTATACCAAAATAAGATACCCTCGTTTGTCCCGGTCTATAGCCCCTTCCAAACTTGGTTATCCATTCCGGTGATTAGTGATATATTGAATATCGGACAAGATATTTTACTACGTGTACATTGTTACACCTTTTTTTGTTACATAGCATCTCGTTGTATGGTTTATATTACTGTTCACCTTAGAGTAAGTAGGTTTCATCTACAGGATGTGAATTCCTATCTAAGACTAACATTTCCGTATGCACAATAGTCAACAATTCGCAGCTCAACACAAACATTCCAATAGTCAACTTGACACAGACATTCAAGCAATCAACTTCATACAAATATGTGAGCAATCAGCTAAGTACAACTATTCGAACAATCAGTTCCATACAAATATTTGGGCAATCAGCTCCAAACTATTATTTGAGTAATCAGCTTGGTTCAAACAACTTGAGCGATCAGCTTCACATAACGTGAAGGATGCAGATGTAGTACTTGGAAATAACTTTTTCCATTGTTAATGTTATTAAAATAATATTATTTTCGCTTGTTTATTTCCAAAACAACACTTTGCAATTGTCTTGAGACCGATTTTAAAACCATATGCTCCGATACCAAAATGTAACACCTCAACCAGCGTAACCCAAATAAATAGGTTAGCGAACCAGGTTGCTACTAGATTGGTATTCACAAACAATATTTTTCAAGAAATAAAAATATTTAACTTAACTCAAACAATTTAGATACATATCGGAGTTTATACAAATAGTGCGGAAGCTTTATAATTTAATCAAACATTATTATATCCCTGCATCTGTACATCTCCTCCGTCATGCTACCCTCACGGATGGATTTCAAGGTCAGGCCCCTCCATGATTACCTACGTGTTACAAGGGGGAACAAAAGGCTACACGCTCAGCAACACAGCTGAGTGAGAAATATCTAACACTTCGAACATACAATAGACAAAACCACTAGTTCATAATCATAACATGATATCATGCACATAGGTTTAATATCATGCAGTTCACATAAACAGTTCATCACATAATTCACCTGGCACCTGCCCTTTTCCATTCTCATCAAAATGGAGCATTTCTTACAGTGGTGGATCACCATTTATCTGTACTTATACTTAACACTAGACTAAGGACTTTCGACTTTTCTTGGAGTCATGATTGTTCCCACTAGATCAGCGGGTCATGCTCAACCAACAAGGGTGTTCCCCGTTGGGTGGGTGGAATCCCCACCAGATGGATCGCCAGGTAGTTCAAGGAGACCTGTACGTATGTTTTTGCCCGGTTTAAATAACCATTTGAGCCCAGCAAGCATCCACCTCCACCTGGTTTATATACTCTGACTTTCCTAATACTAGTACTTGAGTGAGTCCTAGAGTTCCTTTAGGTAGACTTACCTTGGCTCATGGGGTTGGATCAACACCTATGTAACCTGTGCTTCGCGTGCTCGATCAGCCCGCTCTTATCATTGAATTCGAGGTTGGATAACCATAATAATAATATCAAGTCACATAAGTGTTGGATCAACAGAGAGCAATCACAACCATAACACGTTGCGGTCTAGTATTGGGTGTAGACACCAAAACTTACCTTCATACAACACATAAGGCTTTGGAATCAATCCTTGACGAAAACACAAATCAATAGACCCGGTATTAGGTACGAGACGTTACCCTTCACGGTGCGGAGTACCATCCTTATGGTACCTAGGTACCGGTCCTGCGATACTGGGGTTCCGTCCAAACTGAACCCTTCTAGTAGAACTGCCACGGTAGCCGTCTACCGATCGGGCGGTAGGGCCTACCGTCCGTCCGGTACCTAGGTACCGTACGAGCGCAGCTACCGGCAGAGGCGAAAGAACAAACAGAGTGTGACGGTAGCACGGTACTGTCCCGGCGGTACCACCTGCCGTCCGACACAACAAATTCCAGCTACGTACCTGTTTTGTTTTTCAGCATCACACCAACATTTAAACATTGAAAACTTCTACATGGATATGTTTTAACCTCAATTCCGAACCTAACTAAATTCATCCGTCAATGAATACATACAGATCATAACAATTCATCAAACTTACATTCAATACTCAATCAACGCCTAAATCATGTGTTCTACCCTTTTCAATCAATATAATCCCCAGAACCACAATCAAGCAATTCAACGAAGTATTCCACACAGATCAATCACGATAACAATTATGAACGGAATTTCAAACATATATGCATATTCTAGGGTTAAATGTCCACGTACTCACCTTGATTCGTCGATTCAACTAGAAAGAATGTCGTTCGAATTCCATCGTTGGGATAGATTTGTCCCATTGCCCGAACCGATACGACTACCCAGACTACCACCACTGCCCGGAATGGCTGGAACACGGAGGGAGTTTGCCGGAGTTGCTGGGGTCGTTCGCTGGAACAGAGAGCAGCTCTGCCGGAATTGTCTTTGTTTCTGTCCCTAAGCTCACCAGAGTCGTTGGCTACGCCGCTGGAAGACAACCCCCCTTCGCCAATCGCCATCCCGCGTGCTAGTCACTGCTACATCCCGATCGGAGGAGGAGACCAGAGTCTGCGCTGCAATGCGTGATCGGGTCGTCGCCAGAGCAGAGAATGGTTAGGCAGTTCGTTCCTGGGTCAACTCGCCGCCGACGCTGCCCTAGGTTACAACGTCGCTAGCCAGAATCTCGGTATTGGCTTGGAGCGCTGCTGCTTCGCCGATTCAAAGACAGTCGCTGGGTCCTAGTGGCGGTGTTAAGTCGAAGAAGAAGAAGAAAACGGACTAAGTCGCGTAAGAGGGAGTATTTATATTTGTAGGGTTTTGTACTCCGTAATTTAAAATAACGTGTTTGGGTAAAAACACCCTTTTCGGGCCAACTTGCTTTGAGTTGAGATCCGTTTGCGTCGTTGGATTTGATTCGTCGATCCTTACCCAATGATATAACTTTTATAATCAATCAACAAACATTTATAGGTTCCACCTGGTCTGTCTTAATTCCTTCAATTAATTAATACAGATCAGACTTTTAATTCAAATCTTTATAAATATAATCAGATTAGTCACGTTATAGTGAGACGACTAGAATCACTACAAGTATCTATTTATTCTTTAAAAGAATAAGTTGTCGTAACTAAATAATTCTTATTTATTTAATTATCGATTAACTTCTATCCTGATTGCTAGGGAGTTACAAGTGTAGCTCGAGAGAGTCTCTCGGGAGACTGGATCAGCCACGAGAGTTGGTAACCAGTATATATATCAATGTTTTCTTTCCTTACGCTTTTAATTATGTACTGTACTTCATCCCTGCAATCTTTATTCCCCAAAATTTTATCAACATTCTCATGTCTCACTCTTCATTATTTCCTCTAGTGAAGGCACACTAACAGAAGAGAATAAAAAGAAGAGTGGTGTGGCTAGAACAAAGAAGAAATGAAAAAAATAGAGGGGAGGGTGGGTGGATCTTGTAAAAGATGAAGAGAAGGGAGAAATTGAAATAAAATGTAAAAAATGGGATCAAAATCATAACATTTAAGTTTTTGAATTTGTAAATAGACCCCAAGTGCCTGGTGACTTAGATATCGCCTAATGGACCACCGATGAAAGAATATTGCTTGTTTGTATATTTCTGTGATAGGAATTAAAGTTTGAGGAATTTACTTAAATAGCACTAAAACACAATGACTTTCTCTAAATAGCACTACATGTGTTTTTCTTTCCAATGTAGCACTTTTAGTCATTATGCATTAGTCATTATTCAAACAAATATTCGCCATCAGTGGACATTATGGACATTATTAAGTTCTATTTAGGGAATAAAACAGTTTAAGTGCTATTTAGGGAAATGACTTAAGTTTAGTGCTATTTAGTACAAATATTTCTTAAAGTTTATATGTGTATATATACCGAAATGAAAAATAATGAAAGTTCGTATGCCTTTGGTAAAATTTACCCCATTTTCTTGTTCTTCTAAATAGGGATGTCGGGTCAACTTGAAAACTTTTGTTCTAGAACGAAAGGAGTGCTTTAAAGAGATTATATTGTACTACTTAGTTCCCGGGTACTTATGTACATTATTTTTGACACAAGGACCAAAAAAGAGAAGAAAAAAGTGAACGGTATACCCTTATAGTTTTCTACTTTTTGGGTGAAGGGATTATTGTATGTAATATTAAGGCAAAGAGTAATGCTTACATGGTTCTAAGGTTCACATTTAAAATGTGAATCTCCTCACCCTGTTCATGGGCTTTCATTTAGATATGTTCTATTTTGCAAAAGATGCACATCTTTTATTCTACAAATACACTAAAATTTATAAAATGAGCTCGGACTGTGGGTCCATGAATATTACTGCAATTTGTTTTTGTTTTAAAATTGTTGAGTGAACAAATACAATAAAACAATGAAATACCGAATAGATACGGAGAGTGTATATACATAAATAAAATACTACTCCGCAAATGAACTGCCATTCAATGGCGTCACCCGTCAGTCACTTTGAAGCAAGCAAGCAGCCATTCTCCTTAACCCGGTTGATACTTGCTTCATACGGAGGATACTATTTGATAGTGCTCAATTTATTAGGCACATGGCAAATAAATTCCACTAACTCTTTTTTTTTTTAAAGTCAACATGGGCACACCATTTTTGAATATATATTGTTTGGGTGGAATCAAACTTATTATTACTTACACTAGTACCCCCAAAAATAAAAATAAAAATCACTTGGTACAAAACTAATATTATCATCATTTCAAGATTCTCTCTGTACACTAGACATTGCTTGGGAGAAGTTGGTGCGGCGGCAATCAAAAGTTTTCCTTGTGGAAATCGAATTTGGTGCTTGTTTTTCGAGAAAAGTCCAATGCAAGTTGTCTTAGCTCTTTCGTCAGTGCTGGTGCCCCACAATAGAAAACCCCTGCAATCCAAAATAAATAAACTTAGTACCAAGATTCCCTCGTTTGGCTTTTTAGTATTCATATTCCTTGGTCGTACGATTAAATGACATCGTGATAAACTTTAAAAGTGTCCACGAAACTAGACCAAAAGCTTAAATTTGTGGTTGTAGGTCTAGAAAATGTTATACACTCTAAAACGCCCCCTCACGTGCTGGCGATAACTGAGTTGCGGTGAGGTTCGAACTCGTGACTTCTTGGTCAGCAAGGCTCCGATATTATGTCAAGAAACTAACTCAACCAAAAGCTCAAACTTGTGGTTGTAGGTCTAGGAAAAGTTATGTACAAAAAGAAAAGGGGGGAGGCACTCACCAACTTTCCCATTGGTGTGGTTGAGAGCAATGCGTTTGTACACATTGCGCCAGTTAGGCTTGGCGAAGTGAGACTTGACGGCGGTTCCAGAGACGATGTCGACACCGTTCTTGGCGTGGTGGAGGGATTGGAGCATAGCGATGAGAGCAGAACGGGCATCCCCTTCTTCGTAAACGCTGGTACAGTAATTGTGCATCTCTATGACGCCCTTATGGTCCATTTCCGCGACTTCATTCATGATCCCCTTGAACCAGTCAAATGAGCCTTGCTCCCTGGTCACCCAATAGAAGTAGGCCTTTCTTGTCTTGAAGTTTCTGCCCCCTCCGCTCCCCGCTCCTTGCCCACTCTCCAACCCTCTCTCTTCATCCTCCACCACCTTCATGTTGTTCACAATGTCCTTCACAATGCTGATCATTGGGGTTGCTCCTATTCCTAGTCCTACAAGCAGAACCACGTCGTACTTCTTGTAGTCTTGTGCTGGCGCTCCATACGGCCCATCAATCTTCACCTCTGGGAAACTGCAATTTTTAAGTAGTTGCTAGCAACATCAATCATCTTGGATTTTCATGGAGGAGCATAAGACTAGCGGATGGGTATAGTTTCAAGAATGGGGAAACGACACTTACTTTGGATTGTTTTCCCCTTGTAGGCAATCCGCTCGCAGGAGTCCACTTTTCCCATTGGGAGGTGGTTGGCATACCTATAAGAACAAACACGGTACAATCATCAAGGGCATATCCTTAAGACAACCTTGCTAGTATTGCTTATGATTGTGATTATAGACTTATTTATTTAAGCACGATAACTAAAGGATACACACAAAAGGGTCCGATATTTACCTCTGAGAAAACAGTTTTGAGCTGTCTGGTCCAATCCCCAAGGGTTCTAATGTGGACACTAACATAGTCATCTCCCGGGGCAGATGTAATTGAAAAGGGGTGCCTGTTATGGATAACCAAAAACTTTAAGAAAATTCAAAGAAATAATGGGATAAACTGATCTACGGGACATACAAGAAATAGAAGTAATGTGTACAAATTGATGTTTTCCAGTGGCAGCCCTTACCATTCAAAGGGAGAAACTGCAGAGCAGTTGACAAACATGTATTGACCGCTTTTGTATCTGAAGCCCTGCGGCTTTGACATATGAAGCGCTAAAACGTTTCCAGGATAGACAGCCACCTTTACATGTTGCAAATCATTCAAACATGGGAAATAATTAATATCCTTCTTGAATTAACTACTTCTTCCATTGCCCAAAAAAGATATGACAAATTGACAACAATTGGGCTTTATGTTAAAGGTGATGAATTTCCACAAAGTAAAATGTGATCTATCTTTGTCGACGTAAGTAGAACAAATTAGTAAATGACGGTAATGCGATTACCTTAAGAATCTGGACAGGCTTAATGCTAGACCTGAATACCCTAAGCAATCTTTCGCAAGCATAAATAACCACGGGGATAGCCAAGTACATCCAAGTCTGCAATTTACCAATTCACTAAATCTTCAACAACAAAAATCCCACAAAAGTTAACACTTAGAAGTCCCAAAAAAGAATATATTGGTTACTAACCGTTTTCTTGTACCACGTATGGGTCAAATAGAGCTTGACGCCATGGACAATGAGGAGAGCATAGACAATAACAAAGAGGTGGTGGGAATACCAGAAGGCATTGAAACCAGTAATCTTGTTAAAAGGTTTGGGCAAGGTCACCCTATTCCTTCTAAACCATGGAGTAGCCAAGGTGAAAGCTATGGCCATTAATACCACTATTATAATCCCTGTCACGCCTTCCACTCCCTTCACGAAAAACCAGTAGTTTTGTGGCTGATCCCCAAAGAACGGCTCCATTGGAGCGTACTTCTCAGCGCTCGCATGCAGAAGCCTAGGGAAGTCGCACGTCAAGTGAGCTATTGCGTGTATTCCCACCCCAATAGCCACAGCCACCGCTATCACCTAAAGAAATGTTAAATATTGTCACTACAAGGCAACATTACAAAAGTGTACAATCAAAAGTAGACAATACACGCCCGAAACTCACTAGAACACACATTTGGGGCTGACCCCAACATTTGACAACTTTGTCTCTCATACTATATTAAGACTCAAGTCCCATCGCAAAAGCTCACTCAAGAAGTTATATGTAAGTTCTAATGTACAATGACTTAAGAATAGGTATTCGGGACCGGAGGATAGGACTTACTTTGTGAAAGTTGAGGTTGTCATCGAAAGGTACCGCAAAACCTAACTTGGTCTTGTTTCTGAGCCATGTTATGGTGTTTCTGCAGACGGGTAGAAGAATTATAGCCATGTTGAGCTTAAGCGTCTCAGCAGCACCTTTAGCCATACAAACACAGGCACCCATAACATGATAAGCTGCTTTGTTTCTATACTGAATGTATTTCCAAGCAAACAGCCCAGCCATGGCTCCCATCCACAACAGAAGCACCCAAATTCTCTGCCAATTGTCTAATATGAAGTACTTGAAGTGTTTGTACCATCTG